ATTTCTCTTAAAAGTATAAGATGATCAACATAATTTATAATTAAAGAAATGTGAAATGAAACTAGGCTAAGAACAATTTTTCTACCAACCAGACTGGTAAATTAAAAAAAAAAAAAAAGTCTGACAACACATTATGTTGGTAAAGATGTAGGGAAACAGGCACTCATACACTGCTTAAAAAGAATTCCTCCCAAGCAAGGCAACTTGGCTCTCAAAAATTATAAAAATACATCCCCTTTGTTGTATCTCAGAAACGACATGAGAAACTGGTAATACTGGTTTCCTCCAAGCAGGGTCACCAAAGAGCTGGAGGAAAGGAAAGAATTTTAAAGTATGTGAATGAATTAAATAAATGAATAACATTTGTATTTCAAAAATTATAATGAAAATGACAAGAGCAGCAGTTATGCTTTCAGATGACCATGCTGAGTGGCCTGAGCTTGGATACTGAGCTCCGTCCCCTTTCCCAGGCATCTCTCAGTCCATGACTCTGCTGCAAAGCTAAGGCTATGGAAGCAACATTCTCTCACTCCAGCAATATTCTCTGAGGGCCCAGTGCGTGCCAGGCTCTGCTCTAGTTATTGGGTTATCACTAGTAATCAAATAGACAAAAACGCTTGTTCTTGTGATGTTAACAGCCTTTTGAAGGAAACAGTCAATAAATGAAAAAAGAAAATAGTAGGTAAATAGGCTAAGAAGAAAAATATAAAGCAGTCAAGGGTTAGACCTAATGAGATTAGGGCTTTGGGAGGATTAAGTTGAGAGAATCAGGAAGGCCTTGGTGAAGAGGCTGACTTTTGAGTAAAAACCTAAAGTATGGAAGCAAATCAGGTAGATACCTGGGCAAAAGCATTTCACCCAGAGGGAACAACAAGTGCAAAGGTCCAGAGGTGGGAGTGTACCCAGTATATTCATTGAACAGCAAGGAGGCCCATGTGGCAAAAGTAGGTCAACGTGGAAGAGTAAGAGGAGATGAGAAATGGGGTCAAGTGAGGTCTTCAGCTTTCACTCTGAGATGGAGAGCCCTTGTTACGTTTGAGCAGAGGACTGACAAGAGCTCCCTTACATCACTGGTTGCTGTGTAGCTGAGGGAATGAAGTAGGGCAAAGGACAGCAAACAGGAGGCTGTCACCTTAACCTGGGGTGGAGACGATGGCAGGCTGTGGGACGGTGCAGGTGCTGAAGAGAGGCTGAACGCTGGCTACGTTTGGAAGACAGACACAATCAGATTTGCTGATTGTCTGAATACAGGATATAAGAAAGAAAAATCATGAGCTCAGTCCCAGACATGTCACAACTAAGATGTTTACTAAGCATTCAAGCAGAGATGACCAATGGGCTGCTGGAGATACAAATCAGAGTTCAAAGAAAAGCCCTAGGCTAGAGACACAAATTTGGCATTGGTCATATTATTGGAAGCATAAAGCCACAAAGTTGGATGAGATCACCTACAGAATGAGGGTAGATAGAAAAGAGCCCCTGGGCATGAAGGAATCACCATTTTCAACAATTTTTGCCCAAAGTTCCTTTTAACCTTCTTCAAGAATTCTAGCTATAGTATAACCACCCTTTGAGAATGAATACTTGTACACTCTTAAGCTATTTCATAAAATTTGGTTCTCCAGACCAAGGTGTGGTAGAATCCCACCTCTTCCCAAAAACTGGGGCAGATCTCAAATGATAAACCCTCCACACAGTGCCACTCACCTTTCAGAGTAAGCTGAGACTTCTCAAAAGGCAGGGCCACTCCTGCCCGGCTAGAACTGGCAGATGCCATGTCATCACCAGGAAACTACAAGACAAACACAGCAGGTTTAGAGAACACTGGAGAAAAGATTGAGGAACTGGACCCAATTTTAATACTTGAGTTTAAAAGAGACAAAGCAAGAAAATATAATATAAACATCCAAGCAACTTTGGCGATACTACTTCCAACCAGGTAGGGTCTGCACTGTCGTCTGACCCTAGAGCCTAGATAGGTCTGGCCTAGGCCAGGACTATTGCATCAACATTTAGAGGAGAGCAGCCCAATATAACATCTCTAAAAAGAAGTCACAGTTCAACAGTCAGTGTTTCAACTGCAAAAAAAAAATCTGATCTTTTTTAATGGACAAAAATCTGAACAAACATTTCTCCAATGAAGATAAACAAATGGCCAATAAGCACATGAAAATATGTTTGACATCATTAGCCACACCCGTCCCTTTCATTCCATCCTGGCTAGAAGCAGGAGTCTTTCTTGCATTTTAAATGGATCTTTTACTCATATATATGATTTTGTAACATTGTCATTTGTCATTTGGAAAGTCTTGATTCATTCAGTTACATAGATAGTCCACATGTGGACACATGTCATTACACATTATCAAAAAAAAAGCGCATTTGTGAATGTCATTGCTGACCTCATCAGAAAGATCTTCAAACACTTGGAAGCTGTCAAGCTCTTGATGGTAGACATAAGTATTCCAAAATCCTAATTTTCACTCTAAAAACTCATATTTTATTGTTGGCAACAAATACTGTTAGTTGTTTTCCTTGAAGTGACAGGCTCGCTTCATTCATCTTCAAGAAAATGTCTGCCAAATACCCAAACCTCATAACTTTGTTAGTTTTTTCAAGTAAAAATGGTATTTCATAAAAAACCAATTAATTCACCTCTCAGTTCAAACCATGGTACAACTGCTTTTTCTCAACACGACCACTCTACTGTATATGCTGTGGAAGTGCTTTGAGCATATTTCCAATTTCATCACACAGAATATTAAAAAGACATGTGCACAAGGGTCAAGACTTAACAAAGTTAATAACTTGTACTGCTTTATCGAGCACATTTGTAACTGAAACTGGCTCTTTGTTTTCTTTTTACGGAGTGTGCTGAGGTGAGGGATTCAGTGACAGCTGATTGCTGGCACGCCCTAATTCATGCTGTGGCACCAATAGTTTTACTCACCTTTGCTTCTGTACCATCAGTGCAAATGTGATCACAGTAAAAGAGCAAATAAAGTTACTATGAAAACAGATTTGATCTTGCAAAGTTCTAGAAGTTTCGAGGGGCCACGAGGAGTCGGAGGATACTCTTGTGAACTCCTGCTATAAAATCCCTATGAAATTCCTATTCTATTTGACATCATTAATACCCTCTTTCATTCTATTTGTGTCTGATCTCTCCTCCTAATTTCCTATTCTAAAAAGTGGTTTAAAACATGGTAGTTAACTCACCATATTACTCTAAGAATGGAAGCCTTTATGTGAGAATTAAATGTAGCTACAGCAACCTGATCATCTACATTTGCCCACTTACAGCACTAAATTGTTTTCTACCTTTATCTTGCATCTACCTACAACTTCAGCATTTTATTTAAAAAATAATAATAATAATAAGGGAGAAATGTGGGATTCACATATAAATCAAGTATAAAAATCAAACGAATAATCATATCTGACTTGATTGTTCATAGTTCATGATGGGTGATCAAAACCGAAAGTTTCTGTGATATGACTGCCCTTGCACTGTTCACCATGTAAGAACTTATTCACTATGTAAGAACTTGTTCACCATGTAAGAACTTGTTCGTTATGCTTCAGAAGATTGGAGACTGTTGAGAATTAGGCTTGGGGTTGATTAATGATTGTGCATTGAGTCCCCTATACAGAATTTTATTGTTGTTAACAACCATTTGATCAATAAATATGAGAGATGCCCTCTCAAAAAAAAAAATATGTAGCTTCAGCAAAGTCACATTGATTCTGACATTTCCCATAACTAAAGCCAAGTCATTTTATGGTTCAAGATTTTAACCAAAGCCAAACAAAACAATCTGCCATATTTATAAGATGTATCCAGTCCAAAAAAAATTGAAGTGACTAGTTGAGTTTTATTTTCACCTAACATACGGAGTACCAATGGAAACTTCTGAAATGTTACAGGTAACATACAAGAATACAGTACTGGAATCTGGGAATATGAGAATACAATACTGGGGGAAGAATACAATATTCTTATCAAGATGTCTAGACACCAGAATTCCACATTATTAAATCTGACAGCGAATTCTCAGTCCTCATCTCATATGGCCTCCTGGCAGCATCTTCCTTGAAATTCTTTCCTCCCTCGGGTTCCATGACACCTGCCTGCTTTTCCTCCTGCCTCTCAGGCTGCTCTCAGCCTCCTCTCTTGGCTTTTTCCCTCCTCATCCTCTAATCATCCGAGTGTCCCCTAGCTCAGGCTTTGCACGTCTTCTCTTGGTTATCTCATCCTGCCTCATGGCTTTAAATACCACCAATTTGTTGACAATCCCAAATTGGTATGTCCAGCATGAACCTCAACCTTGAGCCTCAGATCCTCTTTGTCTACTGACAAAACTGAGCTTCCGATATTCCCCATCAGACCTGTCCCTCAGTCTTCTGAATTTCAGTGAATGACAATTCCTTCCATCCAGTGGCTCAGGACAAAATTCTGAGTCATTCCTGCTCCCCCTTTCCTTTCACATATTCACTCTGTCAATAAATCCTGTTGGTTCTACCTTTAAAATATTTCTGAGTTCAAACATTTTTCTCCAATCTCTACAGTCACTGCCTTAGTCCAAAGCACCATGATCTCTTCCCGGGATTTTTGTTTTTCCTGCCCCTGCCCTCTGCCCCCTTCAATCTAATCTTAACATTCAGCACAACAGTTTTTTAAAAAATATGTACATCAGATCCTACCGCTCCGCTAAAGCAAAACCATGCAGTGGCTTCCCGTCTAGCTCAGATAAGTCAAAGTCCTTAAAATGACCTTTAGAGGTTCTACGAGATACACTACCAATTATTGGAAGCATAAAGCCACAAAGTTGGATGAGATCACCTACAGAATGAGGGTAGATAGAAAAGAGCCCCTGGGCATGAAGGAATCACCATTTTCAACAATTTTTGCCCAAAGTTCCTTTTAACCTTCTTCAAGAATTCTAGCTATAGTATAACCACCCTTTGAGAATGAATACTTGTACACTCTTAAGCTATTTCATAAAATTTGGTTCTCCAGACCAAGGTGTGGTAGAATCCCACCTCTTCCCAAAAACTGGGGCAGATCTCAAATGATAAACCCTCCACACAGTGCCACTCACCTTTCAGAGTAAGCTGAGACTTCTCAAAAGGCAGGGCCACTCCTGCCCGGCTAGAACTGGCAGATGCCATGTCATCACCAGGAAACTACAAGACAAACACAGCAGGTTTAGAGAACACTGGAGAAAAGATTGAGGAACTGGACCCAATTTTAATACTTGAGTTTAAAAGAGACAAAGCAAGAAAATATAATATAAACATCCAAGCAACTTTGGCGATACTACTTCCAACCAGGTAGGGTCTGCACTGTCGTCTGACCCTAGAGCCTAGATAGGTCTGGCCTAGGCCAGGACTATTGCATCAACATTTAGAGGAGAGCAGCCCAATATAACATCTCTAAAAAGAAGTCACAGTTCAACAGTCAGTGTTTCAACTGCAAAAAAAAAATCTGATCTTTTTTAATGGACAAAAATCTGAACAAACATTTCTCCAATGAAGATAAACAAATGGCCAATAAGCACATGAAAATATGTTTGACATCATTAGCCACACCCGTCCCTTTCATTCCATCCTGGCTAGAAGCAGGAGTCTTTCTTGCATTTTAAATGGATCTTTTACTCATATATATGATTTTGTAACATTGTCATTTGTCATTTGGAAAGTCTTGATTCATTCAGTTACATAGATAGTCCACATGTGGACACATGTCATTACACATTATCAAAAAAAAAGCGCATTTGTGAATGTCATTGCTGACCTCATCAGAAAGATCTTCAAACACTGGGAAGCTGTCAAGCTCTTGATGGTAGACATAAGTATTCCAAAATCCTAATTTTCACTCTAAAAACTCATATTTTATTGTTGGCAACAAATACTGTTAGTTGTTTTCCTTGAAGTGACAGGCTCGCTTCATTCATCTTCAAGAAAATGTCTGCCAAATACCCAAACCTCATAACTTTGTTAGTTTTTTCAAGTAAAAATGGTATTTCATAAAAAACCAATTAATTCAGCTCTCAGTTCAAACCATGGTACAACTGCTTTTTCTCAACACGACCACTCTACTGTATATGCTGTGGAAGTGCTTTGAGCATATTTCCAATTTCATCACACAGAATATTAAAAAGACATGTGCACAAGGGTCAAGACTTAACAAAGTTAATAACTTGTACTGCTTTATCGAGCACATTTGTAACTGAAACTGGCTCTTTGTTTTCTTTTTACGGAGTGTGCTGAGGTGAGGGATTCAGTGACAGCTGATTGCTGGCACGCCCTAATTCATGCTGTGGCACCAATAGTTTTACTCATCTTTGCTTCAGTACCATCAGTGCAAATGTGATCACAGTAAAAGAGCAAATAAAGTTACTATGAAAACAGATTTGATCTTGCAAAGTTCTAGAAGTTTCGAGGGGCCACGAGGAGTCGGAGGATACTCTTGTGAACTCCTGCTATAAAATCCCTATGAAATTCCTATTCTATTTGACATCATTAATACCCTCTTTCATTCTATTTGTGTCTGATCTCTCCTCCTAATTTCCTATTCTAAAAAGTGGTTTAAAACATGGTAGTTAACTCACCATATTACTCTAAGAATGGAAGCCTTTATGTGAGAATTAAATGTAGCTACAGCAACCTGATCATCTACATTTGCCCACTTACAGCACTAAATTGTTTTCTACCTTTATCTTGCATCTACCTACAACTTCAGCATTTTATTTAAAAAATAATAATAATAATAAGGGAGAAATGTGGGATTCACATATAAATCAAGTATAAAAATCAAACGAATAATCATATCTGACTTGATTGTTCATAGTTCATGATGCGTGATCAAAACCGAAAGTTTCTGTGATATGACTGCCCTTGCACTGTTCACCATGTAAGAACTTATTCACTATGTAAGAACTTGTTCACCATGTAAGAACTTGTTCGTTATGCTTCAGAAGATTGGAGACTGTTGAGAATTAGGCTTGGGGTTGATTAATGATTGTGTATTGAGTCCCCTATATAGAATTTTAT